ACAATGAAAAAATAAGTTGTCACCAAGTATAGCATCAAAAACATAAACTTCAGCCGTATCTAGATAGCCTCCCCTTTTTCCAGGTTCAGCATTCTTCTTAGGCATAGCCTTGACTGAGCAACCACTCAGTGTGAACCACCAACATGAGAAGGCTAAACAACAAAGTGAAAGGCGCCTACGGCAATAAGCAGATTGTACTTCTTTTTAAAATAGCATCCATCTCTCTGGTGTCTGTTTGTGATGGCTGTTTTAAGAGAAGACCTCAAAAAAATCCAGCAACCTAACTATATACCATTCAGTACACAGGCACGTTGCCCATGACCTTGGCAGGGCCTTCCTTACTGAGAGCGTGGAAGATTGCTTAGAAACTTGGCCCCCCGGGTCCCTGGGACCGAGCGGTCACCGCGGTGGTGTCTCACTGTACTGTTCGCCTGTTTGTTTCCCCTTTCATGTAGATGGAAGCTATTTACCTTGGCTCTTCATTTTTAGAGCCTGAGTCTCCATATACACACGTATTTTTGAAACCGTGATTATGACACTGTTCCTTTAGCAGTTTATATTTTCCATATTCAATTATATTTATTACCTTCTGCCATGACAGCCTTATGATATAAGGGAGTTATCCGCTCTGATGACTGCAGACAGACACGTCCAAATTGAGAGGAAAAATAAATAAATATTGTACATCATTAGCAGGAAGTGAAAAACTTTCAGGTTCTAAACACGGTTCTGGCCAAATCATATTCAGCCAGCAATGACTTGTCTGTAGGCTGCTGCTCACCCTGTCTCTCGTTGTCTCTGGACTTCATCCATCTCCCCCTCAATGACGTTCCTCTCTTAAGACTTACAAATGGTGTCACTGTTTACTTCTTTATTTTAGTTTGTTCCTTCTTCAGTCAGCTTCCCAAAAGTGTCTGTGCTGGTCTTTCTTACCCCACCTTTTTGCTGCTTCTTTCCAACTCTCCCCTCAGCTTGGACCAAATCAAACTGATGGAGGCTATTCGTGGGCAGAGTTTCTTATTTTAGGAATCTCTTCTTGACCTACTGTGTTCCCTTATGAATTCTGTATCCAGGTATTAATAGAACTCCTGTCACTTTCTTGGGTTTATCACGCAGTCTCGTGTCAGCCTGAGTATCTGTCAGAGAATGTGAAAAGCCGTGAGCCTGCTGAGACCTGCATTTAAAACGTTACGTAATGCAGATGGCACCTGAGTCAGGCTCTAACCTGGACAAAATGTCCACTTCAGGAGAAGTCCCGGGGACTAGAGGCATCACAGTTCATATTATTTATTCTTGACGAATCATTCATTCATTCTTTCATCCATCTGTTCATTTTTAACTTACTTGGATTGGTTATTGTTTCTCTAGGTCTTTTCATCTCTCTCTTTTATCAACTAGAGACTCAGAGTGAATGCTCTGTGAACTATTTCTCCCGAGCTACAGGAAAGACATTTAGTAGTAAGGCTCTTTGTCCCAAGGGTGAACAAAATTAAATTTATGCTGCACTTTTATCCATGGGAGGTTGAAGTGAGGGGAATAAAAGCAAAGAGTCTGCTGAATCTGGGTTCAGAGAATCTGACACCAATTAAGGTAATAACTCATTTAGCCAGGGGTCATTTTCATGTAAACGCAAGTAAACTGAATCGAACAAGGGCCTAGAAGAAAGCAAATACAAGTAAACACAGAACTGCACTTGTGTGAAAGGGACGCCACGAGCTGTCCGCGTAAAATCAAACTTCATTTGGAGGATTCTTTCAAAGACTCTTAGAAGTTTTTTTGTTCCATAAAATATATAATTACTACAAGGCTGGATTATGTCCCACATTAAAAATACACTTTAGAGGGTGGGTATAGCTCAGGGATAGAGTGCACGCTTAGCATGTACGAGGTTCCTGGGCTCAATCCCTGATACATCCATTTTTTAAAAAAATGTAAAAATGTAATTTAGAAGTGTGGGAAAGATTCGGCCTCTGGAGAGAGCCCCCTGACCTCACACCAGCTCTGGTAAAGACAAAGAACAGATAGTCTACAGAACAGCGCCAAGAATTCAAACTCATGTAGAGGTTTTGCCCCTTTTCAGTTGAGATAAGCGACCAAACTATCACTGCAAGCTCTCAGGATATCCTTGTATTTGAATTTATCTATTAGCTTTTGTTGCATTAAAAAAACACCCCAAAACATAGTTGCTTAAAATAACCACCTAATCGCTTACTTAGCTCACAGTTCTACCTGGCGGTTCTTCTGGTCTGGCCAGACGTGCCTGATCTTGACTGGGTCAGTTCACGCATCTGTAGGTACCTGGTGAGCTTCAGGCCTCGCTCACACGTGTGCTGGACGGTGGGCCATCGCCTGGGGCAGCAGGGGTGAGCCGGCCACAGGGCTTTCACCATCCAGTTGGCTAACATGGACTTACTCACATGGTGGCAGTTTTCCCAAGAGCAGCAAGAAAGGAAGGTGCAAAGCCTCTTGAGGTCTGAGTTTAGAACCGGCGCGATCTCACTATTCCCAGTGTCTGTTGGTTAAAACAAGTCTTAGGGTTCCCCTAGATTCAGAGAGTGACGAAACAGATTCCACCTCTTTTGGGAAGAGCTGTAAAGGATTGTGGAGGCCATATTTTTTTCCAGTCTACCACATAGAGGATAGTAAAATCATAGATGTTCAAAATGGTATTCTAGAGCCAAAAAGAAAAAAAAAATCTATTTGTGAAGCTATTTACCAATATTTTAAAGATTTATAATATACAATTTTGTGGCTTAAAGAGTAGCTTGGTGAGTGTAGCAATTCTTACTAAAGTGATGAAGTATTTACTAACTGCAAAATGGTCTTATTATCTAAAAATGCCACTCATGCCGCACAGTTCCTTCCACGACAATACTAAATCAATGAATACTAAATCATCTGTGCGTGTCCAGCATATGCAGTGTTCTGGGCTTGATGTCAAGTCTAAAATGGTAAATACAACCGTTCCAGGTGTCCATCCCCATGGACCACACAGTCTGGTGGGTGAGACAGATGATCAAAGAAATAAACCACATATCTACCATCAGTGAAGACTGGTAGCATGAAAACAGTGTTATTTTGGTGTAGAAAATGAAGGGAAGGGGGTGATACCTGCTTTATGTGACGCATCCCAGATGCCATGTCCAAAGAAATCACAGGGTAGCCGAGAATTAGGAAAGAATTAAGAATATTGTATTAACTCTACTTTAAAATGGGGTGTTCATTTGAATATTAGAGTTATAGGTGATCACTGAAATGATCTAGTCAACTTCTTTACTTTCTAGATGAAAAACACTTGGAATCTAGACTGGAGAAATAATTTGCTCAAATGTCCTCAGTAGTTGGGGGTGATATGGGACCAGGTCTAAGTCAGGATGTGCCTTTTCACCACTGTGCCCTCTTTCCTTTATTTGCAAACACAGTTTTGCAAGCCCTTTGTTACCCACTGGTGAGTTGAATAAATCCCAGCACAACGGTAAAGAACATTGATTTCAGGGACTTTGTAGCTGGTGTTCCTCTTGGAGCAAGGGCAGGCTGATGGAGGAGTTGCAGGAAAGCACAGTATTTAAAAAAGACTTTTGTCTAGAAGACATTCTGACCTGGTTAAATACAGCTCTGCCACTTAGTACCGTATGTTCTCAGGCCTGTTTGTGCCTTGGTTTCTTCATCTGAGAAATGGGGATGAAACCACTGATGCTTAATTCATAGGATTGGTGTGAGGATTGAATGAGTTAAAAGCTGCAAAGCATTTAGAACAGTGCATGATACTTAGTACACTTCCAATAAGTGTCATTGATTATTTGTCTAATGTTTATTCATGAGGCCAAAGATTGGACCCCAGCCACATTTTCCTAAGTCTAACTGGGAGAAAAGAAATGAATGAACTAATGCAGGGACTAGACTGGAGAAAGTTCTGACATCTCAAATAACAGCATGGAAGCAAACTGCCAAATATTTTCTCTTCGATTTTCAGAGACAGTGAGTGTAATTAACAATAACAAAATAATAATACCAAATATATTTTTGTTTCATAACTTCCTAGTAGAAATTTCAGGAGTCAGAGGCACAACTAAGGGTGATGAAGATGTTTCCTAATCCCACTTCTGGGTATATATCTGGAGGGAACGCTGAGTTGAAAAGACACCTGCACCCCGATATTCACAGCAGCACTATTTACAAGAGCCAAGACATGGAAACAGCCTAAATGTCCATCAACAGATGACTGGATAAAGAAGATGTATATTTATATAATGGAATACTACTCTGCCATAAAAAGGAATAAAATAATGCCATTTGCAGCAACAGGGATGGAACTGGAGATCATCATTCTAAGTGAAGTAAGCCAGAAAGAGAAAGAAAAATACCATATGAGATCACTCATATATGGTATCTGAAAAAAAAAGGACACTATAAACTCATTTACAAAACAGAAACAGACTCACAGACTTAATAAACAACCTTACGGTTACTGGGGAAAGCAGATGGGAGGGGATAAATTTGGAAGTTTGAGATTTACAAATGTTAGCCACTATATATAAAAATAGATTTTTTAAAAGTTTCTTTTATATAGCACAGGGAACTATGTTCAATATCTTGTAATAACCTTTAATGGAAAAAAAAAGAAAATGAATATATGTATGTATATGCATGACTGGGACACTGTGCTGCACACCAGAGAAAGACACATTAAAAATGGAGATAAAGTTGAATCATTTCATTAAACTCTTGACTTGCTAATAGTTGACTGGAACAATTCCTTTATAAAATCAGGTGCCAGTAGAGATTTTGGAAGATTAAAAAAACAAAAAGAGATTTCCTGTATTTTCCTTTCCCCAGCATCCACCCTGTCTACTCCCCTGACTCCTGCAGGACACTCAGCAAAGGGAGAATGATTATATAGATAACTGCCAGCAGCCCATTGTTCCCAAGCTCTGCAAGAACTGACGTGAGTGATTGATGCCTGTCACTATTCATATCCGGATCACCAGGAGGATGTTTTGGCAGCCAGATGGAGTGTGGGTGGAGGTCAGCATCCCCTTTGCACCGCACACACACTCAAAAGCTGCAAATGCCCTTCCTGGATGTGAATGTTTGGGAGCTGTCACAAGTACACGCTCAGATGTTCGAATATTTTAGATTTATGTTAATATGTCACAGGGTTAGCGTGAGAAGTCAGCAAGTGTCATTCATTCGTGACTCTGGTTAACGACTTCTATCACCCCGCCACACGTCTTGGCACGTTCCATGCTGTTCTGGAAGCAAGGGGCTTATGTTACCACCTGATTTGAACACTCCAAATTATCATCAGATCCCTCTTCAAGAGTCCCCCGACATTCCTTAATTTCTGAGTCGTGCAGTCCACGTCTGGTTAATCATAACATGTATCTTCAGGAGCCTCCAGTCAATTTTGATTACCATCTGCTGCACATTGGAAAGTCACTCCTGTCATGGAGTGGCCAGGCCGACATGTGTTAAACCCAAGGCTTCGTGTCAAAGTGGAGAAGCTCGTTCTGAGAAACTTAAATTGAGAGGCATTCTTTTAAAGGGACATTGCCCTTGGCAACATAGATGCAGCATTTTAATTAGTTACTCTCTTTATTCTTTTTATTAGTTTTTATCCCTTTCTCAGCACTCTCGGATCGACCGAGTTTTCTTTATAAAATTTCTAGAGACAAAGGGAAGACCCGCAGAAGCAGAATAAATGGTGCTCTGTTACCCCTGGGAAGATGCTCAGACAGAGCCACACGGAGAGCTTGAAAGGGACGGAATCTCCAAGTTCAAAGAAGGCACCGGGCCTTTCTGGACTTACCTATCTCTTCCTACAAAGAGAAATTAAAAAGTCCAGTCATTTAGTTAGTAGTTATTGCACGGGGTGGGTGGAGGAGATCCGTTTTCCATCCAAATTAGTCTCCTCTTAAACACCTCTCTGAATGGTTAGCATGTCCACAGTAAAACGATGAATGGTTATCAGTCATTTGTGCCCTTGGTCCCGGTCTGTCATCTCTGTCCTTATCACCCTCTTCAGCATCAGCCTGGCAAACAGAAAGCACTCACACTCAGCTCTTGGGCTCACTGCCCCAGTCTGTTCAGGTTGCTCTAAAATACCGCAGACTAGGGGGCTTCTAACCCACTCACAGAAATTTATTTCTCGCAGATTTGGAGGCCAGAAGTCCAAGATCCGGGTGCCTGCATGGCCAGGTGAGGGCTCTTCTTAGGACCACCATCTCCTTGTCGTGACCTCGCATGGCAGAAGAGGCCAGGGAGCTCTGCGGGGTCTCTGCCATCAGACCTCTAATCCCACTTACGAGGGCTCCATCCTCATGACCTAAGCACCTCCCGCAGGCCCCACGTCCTCACAGCATCCTACGGAGCACTAGGATTTCAACATTCAGCCACAGCAATCATCCTCTAAGTTTCCTTTAGACCCTGCCGTCTATGGGGCATTGTTATAAGTCGGCGGGATCATATAGAAGGGTATACAATAATGCCTGTCCTTAACGAAGCCCTAATCCTAATGTAAAGGGGAGAACCAGTTCAAACTAATCAGTACTACCAACAACCAAAGCTGCCTAATGAACGTTCAAACAGAAAATATCTTCACGGAGCAAGGAACCTCCTCTTGCAACTCACTGTAATGGACTTTGAAGATGTTCTTTTGGGGTCTTTCATTCTCTTCCTAGTTCACGTGGACTGATTTAACATCTCTGACGTGCCAGACGCTGTGCAGAGTTCCAGCCCTTCCCACCTCTGACCGATACTTTCCCGGCTGTAGAGTCACTGAGAGCCTTGAGGACGCTGCAGTCCTCTAATGAAGGGAAAATTAAGAAAATGCACACTCTGTAATGAAGAGGCAGCTCTGGGGGATATTTATGTGGTGAATGGCGTGGAGAAGTGGCCTATGAAGGCTGTAAGGGACTCTCATTTTCCGTGAAGTCCAAACAGTTGACCTCAAATTATAATGTCCTCCGTTTCAGCAGACATTCTGCTTCTGTAAGACTAGAATCTAGTGGGGGCAGGGATAGAAGGCAATGTGTTTTTACAAACCTCTTCCGTTGATGGGATTTCCCGTTGGCTTTCTGGATGTCTCTGCAGAGGCAGCTCCTCCAAGTCTTCAAAGCAGGAGTTGTGTGTTTAAGGGATAAACTGACAATTTAGAACCTCCACTTTTATTGCAAAAACAACAATGTTGACTTTCTGCTGCAACTCTCATTTGAAGCGAGATAGAGAAACATTGTTGGTTTGTGCCCATTTCGGTGGCCTTCTGCCAGCCGATAAAACTGTGACACGAACTTTTTATTTTGTCTTCCCCACCAGGAATGGAAAGTTGAGGTCCAACTCACTGAGAGATGGGGGTTAATTCAGTTGAACATAAGAGGAAAATTTAACTTAATTTACTTGATACTAAGAGGAAGGATTCAATAATGGTGTCCTATATTTTAAATATTTTAAATTCTCCTGTCTCTTGGGGGAGGAGAGAACTCAACACCTAGAATCTTCACAGTGTATTTAAATGTGTGTGTAGCTATTTGCAAAATAGTAGAACAAAATTTATGTTATCACCATTCATGGTTAAAGAGATCAAATAAAGAAGCCAAATCAAATATTTTTTGGAGTAAGGAAGGATGCATGTTAAAAATGAGTAAACATCTAAATGTCAGTCAAGTACACATTTTAAGAGCAAAAGGGAAGCAGGACTTATGCAGAAATGTGATGCTTTGGTGGGGAGGGGAGGGTATAGCTTGGTGACAGAGCACATGCCTAGCATGCACAAGGTCCTGGGTTCAATCCCCAGTCCCTCCATTAAAGTAGATCAGTAAATAAGCCTAATTACCTTCCCCCACTAAAAAAGAGAAATGTGATGTACAAATTGCTGGGCAATTTTAAAATAAGCCCTAGGAAGTGAGGCTTGGTTTCAAAAGTGTTATGTTTTGAATTTAGTATAATTAGTCTCATTTTGTTATTTGTATGACACGTTTTCCCAAAGGATATCAAGATACTTAACAGAAGCTAGAGTGATGGCCACACAACACGATGATTGGTATTACACGGATCATCTGTTCAAGTGTTCTACACTAGCTCATCTCTCTCCAGCTTCAGTCTTTTTTTTTTCCTGCTCCCAAATGATGCCAATTATCTAAAATCCTGAATACTAATGTATTAGCCTTCACTTGTCACCTTGTTAACTCAGTTCCTCCACTCTCTTTGCAAACCCTACAGTTATCTTACAGTCAGCAGTATTTTTAATTATAAAATAACTATAGGCTGTAAAAGTATCGATCAGTGCCCGTTACTAGAGTGAAATCTAAAGCCAATTTTGACTTCTCAAGATCGTTTAAATGCACTTTTGTTTTCTGTCCTCTTTTTGGCCTCCGAGGTGGGGGGGGTAGATATGTTTCTCCTCTCTGCCTTGCACTAATATTAGATTATTTTATGGAATCGGATGGTTTTTCTATGGGGTTTGGGTCACAGGTCAGGATCCTACCTTGCGCAGAACTCTGCTGGCCTCATTTCTGCCATTTCCTCCACAGTTTGGCTTTGCCAGTAGAAAACAATGTTCTGTGTTCATAAAATAGCTTCTTTTCAAAGTCTGTTATATAAAAAAAGGTGTTTAATTCTCCCTACAGAACTATTGGTGTCTCACGTAGACATATTAAAACTATGACAAGTTTTGAAAATAAGAGGTTTTCTGTTCAGTACATTGTATAGTAACTGAAAAGTGGCCGAGAAAGAAAACTCGTTGACAAAAGACAGTGTGAATATTGGAGTTACCCACCTGTGTCTGCCGCTGGCCTGTGGAGACATCAGCTCCTTGATCTCCTTGATAATTTTGCCTGTCTAACCTACACAAAGTGGGCTCTTCCGGCGTTTCAGCATTTATGGTCTATACCAAGAACCAATGTTTTCCTTGAGCTGCTGGGTGGTCTCGCTGAGTCCCGGTCACGGGTCCATCTATGTCCACAGTGTCGTGTGTTTCAAAAGCACCTGCTAGTCCTGTGCTCAGGTGTTCAGCTCCATTGCCTCCATAGGCTCACTTATATTTCACAGACGGGTGTCTTGGCTTGGATTTGGAAGAGCATATGTCACAACGTGACTCCAAACTCATTGTCTATAAAGAATAAGATTCCTAGGCAGAAAAACTGAATACCTCATTGTCTTGGAAAGTCATGAGCAAACTGAAAACATGCTTAATCTCCATCTTCACTTTGGCTACCGTGTATTTTGGACCCTCGTGGACACACCCTGAGAGAGGCTGGACTTCTGTTAGACCCTGCAGGAGCTCTGGCTGCCAGACTAGGTCCACTCAAGACACCAGGGCGCGTGGTGAGCATGTTAGCATCGGCTGTGTGTCGGTACCATCCTCTGGTGGGAGTCTGAGGAAGGGTCCACTGGGAGGAATTCTCATTATGCAGATGAAGAAATACACATTTTGAGAGGACGTGATGGAGTTGAGATTTTAATCCAGATTTATGGGGCTCTAAAATAAGGGCCATTACTCCTTAATACACTCGTATTAGTTTCCTAGGGGCTGCTGTGACAAAGGACTAAACACCGTGTATCTTAAAACAACAGCAACAAAATACTGTCTTACAGGTCTTACAATTCTGGAAGCTAAACGTCTGAAATCAAGGTATTGGCTGGGTCATGCTTTCTCTGAAAACCTGTAGGGGAGCATCCTTCTTTGCCTCTTCTAGCTTTCGGTTTTTGTCAGCAGTCCTTACACTTCCTCAGCTTACAGACACATCACTCCTCTCTCTGCTTCCGTTGCTGCACGGCTGTCTTTCCCTTGTATCTCTTCTTACAAGGACGCCAGTCATATTAGATTAAGTGTTCCCTTTACCCCAAGCCGACCTCATCTTAATTAATCTGCAATAACACTATGTCCAAGTAGCTCACAGCTGTGAGGCACTAGGGGTTAGGACTTTGGTGTATCTTTTTGGAGGACACAGTGCAACCTGTAAGTCCTCCCTCATACTAATGCAACATCTTCAAAACTAGTCTGAGTCTGCTAAAAGCCCTCCTTGGCCCCAGGGAGTTTGAGTTTGAGAGAGAGAAACAGATTGAAAGAGGTATGTCACTCAACTTTGGCTCCTGACTGTATCTGGAGAATCTGCAGTATTTCCTAAGTACTGAAAAGATGCCTGTCTGATGCTAAACAAAATGTTTCCTTGCTCGTTTTTTAAGCGCTCTGTCATATTATTCCTGGGTTGTTTCCAAAGTGTTATCATGATCTCCAAGTAGTAAGTAATCAGGATTGGTATTTCTTTGAATCCTCTATGCAACTTAACCTCAAACAAAATAGATGCCCTGTGCATCCTTGTGGATTTGAATTGAGGTGCGTTATGTAGAATTGTCAGAGGAACAAGGTGAAGCAGCAGAGCACTATCCAGGGATGCCCCTTCCCCCACTGCAGATGTGTCCCTTGGCTGTTCAGCACTTTGTACAGAGTCTGGCTGAGCTGTGTTCAAGAGGATGTGATGCTACACTTCCCACACTGAGCAGAGAAGGATGCTGGATATATAGTCCCATGAGATTAAGACCATCCACGTGGCCCAGCCTGGAGGAATCTTTAGTCATGATTTACTAAGAAAAGAGATTAAGATAATTCTGTGCTAGTTCTTCAGAGAACCAATAAGAGATTTTACATATAGATTTTATTATTATTTATTATCATATATAGATTTATTATAAGGAAATATTTCACATGATCACAGAGGCTAGAATGTGCCACAATCTGCTATCTGCAAATTGGAGATCCAGGAGAGGTGATGGTGTGGCTCCAGTCCAAGTTTAAAGCATGAGCACCAGGAAAGGCAATGGTAAACACTCATACCCAAGTGCAGAAGACCTGAGTCCCAGCTCAGAAACATATAGGCAGAAAGAGAATCAATTCTCCCCTCCTCCTTTTTGTTCTATTCATGCCCTCAACAGATGAGGTGTGACCCACCCAGAATGGGGAGGGCAATATGCTTTACTCGGTCTCCTGATTCCTCTACTGTTAATCTCACCCTGAACCCTCACAGACACACCCAGAAATAATGTTTAAACAAATATCTGGCCTAGTCAAATTGACACATAAAATTAACCATCAGAGATACTGTTCTTGAAGTTTTGGGAGAATCATTCCAAATGCTTATCAGTTATTTGGGAGGCAGACTTCCTCTTCCTTTTGCTGCACCCTGTCCCTGATCTTCCAGGCTAAGTGCAGGAAGTGATCAATGGTAGAGGGGTGAAGGCAGAGCACCCTGTGTTATCAACACAGGAAGCAATTCTGATGGTAAAGAAGCAAGTTTTCCCCTAAATGGTCAATACTTACCCACCTGTGTCTTTTTTCTCTCTCTGTCCTCTAAGTCTCCAAACTCAATCTAGAATTTTATTTCAGAAGTAAATGAGAATTGCAGACAACATGTCATAGTTGAGAAAAGCAGGAAGCTAAGAATTGACAGGCTTATGTTAGAATCCCAGATTTGTTCTCTCGTTACCCAGGAGCTCTAGGGGCATAGCCTCTGCAAGCTATCCCCTCACTGGTAATATCAGGAAATTAATACATTCCTAAAGGGTTTTCTTGAGGAATTTTGAGGAAAATATGCTCAGCGTCACACAGCGAGTATGCAGCACAGCTGAAATCTGAAATCAGGGTTTGTTGAATTACTGAGCTCCTGGTCTAAACCAGGGGTCAACAATCTACAGCCTATAAACAAAATCCAGTCCACGGTCTGCTTTTATCAGTAGTTTTATTGGGACATTTTAAAATTGTAAGATGTACCTACTTATACTGCTTTGGCAGGCAGAGTGGTACCGTTATGATATAGACAAAAACTTACAATATTTACTCTTTGTTTCATTGCATAACAAGTTTGTCATCTCCTGGCCCAAGACATCACATTATACTGGTTGGAGATACTTCTGATAATGTTTGGATTTGAAAGCTATGAAAAATAATATGTTGATGTTGTATCAGTCTGAGTTCAGCAGCTGTAACGAATGTCCCACGCTGGTGTGGGATGTTGACGGTGGGGAGGCTGTGCCTGGGTGGGGCACAGGGTGTATGAGAACTCCCTGTACTTTCTGCTGAATTTTGTTATGAACCTAAAACTGCTGTAAAAAATAAAGTTTATTTATATATATGTATATATGAATTTATATTATTAACTTATAAATCTCTGGCAACAAAAAATTTAAACTAAAAAGCATATTAAGAAGTCTGCTCTTTTCAGCAAGTGAGGCAGTACCTGGCCCGTTCGCTGTCTACAGAGTCACTAGAAATCATACTTGGCAGCAATTCAGGTAAATAGGACTTCTAGACACAGTCTATGTTCCCAGGAGATTGCTATTCTAATAATAAATTATTTTAATGTGTCCTTACTGGTGTAAGCGTATACTGTATTTGTGTGTTATGATGTAGTATCTAATAATAGTACAACTAATAATAGTTATGTCATTAGTAGTAAGTTGTCACTCCTAGTTTGACAGGGCTTGTTCCGTCAGGGACAGATGGACACTAAATTCAGCTAACCAAGTGCTCTTTTCTACACCATGTCTAAGAAATGTAGCATCTAAGAAATGTACCCAGGATGATTGGGTATTTCTAATACAGCCAGATATGACTGATCTGCCTTCTAGTAATCAGAGCGTTGTGTCTCACCAAAAATATTTTTAAAAATCCACCTGTGGATTTTAAACCAGATGTTCCTTTAAAAAAAAAACAAAACACTATCTTTTATACTGCTCACATGAATATTTCCCAATAGATTATCTGAATTAGGAAATTCAAGCTATCCCTGTATTCCAGCTTTGACAAAAATCATGTGTTTAAAAAAATCAACTCCTTGCTGAGTTCCTGCAAAAAATACTGTTTAACCTGTTAGATTGATTTCCTGAAATTAAAGCTAAAAATAATTTAAAAATTTTAAATTTAAAGTTAAGAAATTAGTTCATGGACACCTATAAATTTGCAACTGATTTTCATGTAAGTTAAAAAGTCTGCATGATTTAATGGATTTTCCACATTGTAACCTGAGCAATAGTGTTTTGTACCTCGTGAATAATTCACAAGTTTGATTCCTAAGGCACACACAACACACACACATGATACATATGTATATATTATGTATGTATCATATATATGTATATATGCACACACAGGTATGGCTAATTATTCTGGTAGCAAAGGTCAAAAGGACAGGGTGGCCATAAATTAATAGTAGGTTAAAGGATTTGAATGGAACCTGGATCCAAATTACTATGTCACTTTACCTTGCTGAAATCTTACTGCTAAAATTTTGCACTGCTAGGCAGTAAACTAGGGAAGGAAAAAAAAAGAAATTGAGAAAGTGTTAATTTTTAAGCAAGTTTGACAAAGATTGAGTTTCATATGACAAATATTGTCAGCAAGACAGGATTCTGTCAGTGGAAGAAGTTTAAACATTAACAATTTCTGTCAGGCTGTTGACACAATCATGGCAGACATTTCCCAAGATGCCCAGATGACTGCTGGCATTTGTCAACAATCCTGTCACAGTGACAGCAATAAGACCATGTCTGGAAATGTGACAGTTTTGGCTTTGTGCTCCCCTGAGCAATAGCCCAAGTGTTCAGAGAAAGTGTGGGAAAACCCGTATTTCTGCATTGTCATTCGAACACAGAAAACACAGGAGGAAAATGAGCTGTCACTCCAATTCCCATGATGCCTTGCTGCTTAGCATAACTCTGCTGTGCGGCCCTAGGTCCACTGGTCCATACTCTGACAGATAATTAAGAAAGAAGCAGCTTTTTCTAGACGGCTCTTCCTCATGATTTGCATTTTAGCCAGAGGCGACCAGTTATAAAAAAAACATGATGGAAAGATGGTAAGAAGCCAATTAGATGGATGGATGGCTGACTGACAGCTCTCTGGTATTACGACTCCAGATTTCAGACTACATAGCCTGGCAGTTTTCTACAAGAACCAACTTTTTTGCAGGTTGGTAAAGCTGTTAAATGGGGGCTATATATAGCGCTATATAATTTTTGCAACGTTGTACATTTTCCTTAAATAAGCATGTATTCTTTTCAATCAGGGTTTGCATTAAACAAGTTTTCACAATTTAATCACAACTTGTGTCACTAAATTTAGCAATATTAAAATTCCAGACAACTTGTAGGCGCATTAGCTGTGCCAGCGGAGAAGTGATTAAAAAGCTGAGAACCACGTTGCGCCAGCAGAGATAAAGTGAACTAATAATGAGAATGCCTGTGCAGATGTGCCTTTGGAACTTTGCAGGGTACATTGTTTGGTTTTAAGCAACTAAAAGCATAAAATCTAAACTTCCTCTCTGTCTTTAGATGCCACACACATATATTTGCTTATCATCCTTGGACAAGATCGAATATATGCTTGCATGCCTGCTACTTCAGCTAATTTTGATTAAAAAAAAATAAACTGCAAGACTCAAGTTTCCAGTTTGGCCGTGATATTCTATAGCTTCTGGCCAATAGGAGTTAACTCTTCATCTCGGTGTCCAATTTGGAACCTTAACTGATGTTTCCGTGTGCAGCATGCTGTGTATGTGTGTACGCTGTCTATATACACACAGAGACACACACTCGCACATTTTTAGAAGCAAACCATTTAGAAGCTATTAGAGTGACATGTCTCCATCTGTAGTTTGCAACGAGAGCATTTTCTTTCAAATTGTAATGATATCTCAGATTTGCTTTGGATGTTGAACTATTCAGGGAAGGCAGTTATTTCACTATAAACTGAGGTTTTAGTAAGGAACGTTAACTCAAGCCGAAACTGCAAAGTGTATTTTCGTACTGTGGGTAAAGGGTCTTCAAACTGAGAGTGCATATTAAATCAGTCTTGGGTCTGAATGCTTTCAGTTGCTTAAAACCAAGCAATGTAGGTTGCAAAGTTCCATGTTGATCAGTGAATGTGCATTTGATATCAAAAGCCACAGTACACATAAAGCATGATTGAGAATGTCTTATTATACGGATTAGCTCTCCCCTTTTCTTTGCTTTTTCACCTGCGTTGGTATTTGTCTTTTTGCTTTGGCTTTCTATCAAGTTGTAGGAATAAAATCACCTTATTACACCTATAACCACCATAAAAAATGTTTCACCTGTACAGATTTGGAAAACTGAAACAGAATTTCAAGGGAGTAATGACAGTTCCATAAACGACCTCCCAAAATAGAGAGGAATAAACACCTGCTGATTTTCATTAGAAACATTAAAGCTTTTCCTAACAGACATAGCACTGTACCACCAGAAATAAAAATCTTCTAAAAGAGTTTTTATGATTTTTTTAAGGAACAATGTTCCCTCTCAGTAACTGAAGCCCTTATATAATCAAAATATACCTTCATTATTCAACAGTTTAGTTTCCTCCTAATTTGCTATTTTAAAAGGGAGAAATGTTGTGTCCTGATCAAGTAATTCTTCAAAAGTGAAAAGCTTTGAAATATTTACTTATTTGGATGGATATCCATGCCCAGCGTCTGGTTGGGTCTTTATTTCCCATGTCCTCTGCTTGCACCATCCACTCTTACTTTTTGCTGGAATTTATTTCACTTTTGGATTCTCTTACTTTACGGTATAATATCAATGCATCGTACTTTCTCAAGCTCTGGGGGAAGTTATGTGTCTTTTAAAAAATAATGAGAATTGAAATTTGAATCATACCTGGAGATCATCATACTAAGTCAGAAAGAGAAATAAAAATATCATATGATATCACTTGTATGTGGACTTTTAAAAAATGAGACAAATGAACTTATTCACAAAACAGAGACAGATTCACAGACATAGAAGACAAACTGATGATTACCAAGGGGAAAGGTGGGGAGGTGGAGGGATAAATTAGGATTTGGGGATTAGCAGATACACACTACTATATGTAAAATAATAAACAAGGTCCTACTGTATAGCACAAGGAACTATATTCAATGTCTTGTAATAGCCTATAATGAAAAAGAATATGAAAAGGAATATCCATGTAAATATATGTATAACTGAATCACTATGCTGTACACTGGGAATTAGCACAACATTGTAAACTGACTATACTTCAATTTAAATAGATGGGGAAAAAAGAAATTTGAGTCATAGTAGAGAATAGGCAGATTTTGAAATAACAGCTACCCTTACTATGTAAAACTTCTTTTTTTCCTCCTAAACTTCATAAAGAGAAAATTTCTGTTTCAGGGAAAATCTGAAGAGTGATATTTATTAAACCAAAGTGAGTTCTGCAAATACTAGTTTTAAAGGAGACCGATTGTGGCACTGTAGGGTGCAGAGGTACATTTCTAAATAAAAAAAAAATGGAGTGTGTTATCATCAAAACAAAGGGACACTTCTTCACAAGACTTGTAGAGTTGCACGTGGAAAATATACTGAAACTGGAACTCAGTGGAACTTCTCTCTGCTTACATGTTCATATTAAATTCATCTGCAATTTAAGTGGCTGGAATTTGAACATAAACACCGAGGAGAAGACTACAGACTATTGTCTTAAAAATTGTTTTCCTTCAGTGTATGTTTTTCTAATAGAATATTTAGTTATAGAAGTTCTCCATCAGATTTCAAGGAGAATATTCTGATAGCAAATAACTGTTGTAAGTCTGCCTCTCAGGTACGTGCAAATCATGACTTGAGATGCATTTTGAAAATAACCAATTTTCTATTTAGTGCATTTTACGCTAACAGGAAAGTAAAGGAAAGAAAAACTTAGGTAAAAACCACTTAAGATGTGCTTGTGAAAGTTATTTTCTGTCTGTTTTTTTCCTTCCAGGTGATTTACAGAAATACAGCTTCATTGATCTCTTTAGAATAAATCTTTATAATCCTATACAAAATTGGATCTTTTATTGTTCAATAGACAATTTCTATAAGTGCAGTAACATCTTTCAAATGTCATTAAGGAACAGTGTGGTTTATGTTGCATTGCTCCAGGACCTCACATACTTTTCTAATTCCCTGAACACCCAGTGACCCTGCGAAACATCACAGGGTCACAACACAGGGTGAAGTATTGGCCTCCTTTACTTACCTGATTTGGAATACTTCCCAGAAGCCTAGAATTACTTAAACTCCGTTCATCTTCCCTTATTTGGGCTGGTATGTATCTATATCTAGATATACATCTATATATCTCTATCTCAAGTGCGTGCGCGCGCGAGAGCACTGATGGGGCAGAGATATGAGAGAAAAAGAAACCAGCAACAATTCTTTGTTACACCTTGCTCATAAATTGTTCAGAATCCCATTAAAATGAATGGCTTGAATAATGTAAGAAAGTCCACCAACACTAAGACATATAGCAAAAAACCAGAACCTTCCTGAAGAATAGAGGGGAGTGTAGATCCCGACAGTAAAACACGTCTTCCCCTCTCTCCCTGCATCTGATAGTCTTTCTCTTCAGTGTCTTGCGAGTGTCTGTTTGTGTAACAGCCAGCTCAGCAAGCTCTTTAAAGGCAGGGCTGCGTCTCCCTTT